ACACACACACACACACACAGTCCTACATCACCAACAGTGGACTATCATTCTACACCAACCAAGTGTGGATCATGTACTTGTAACTTAAAGAGGCAAGCATTAGCGGTGTTGCTCGCACTGTCGCAATGACCAAATTGACCGTGGAGATCAGAGATAATCAATAAAATGTAGGCTGTAAAGCCACCAGTATACCTCTATGTATATGTAGAATGAGAAGGTGTGTGGACACTCTACTAAATAAATGAGTCAAGAGACCGAGCAACAATTATCAGATTTATCTGAAGAAAAAAACAAATAGTAATGCAAATAATTAGACCAGAATGCACAGTATCACTGTCTGAGGGCTGCCATAGAATGGCAACGAGGATGTCAGCCGACCAACACTCGCTACCCGGTCCCTGGTTGCAGTGATTTGCAATGCTGGCCAGCTAGGAATTAACTAGCAGCCAGTACAGTACAGTCCTCTCTTGTCTAGCTAACATTTAGCTGTGTTACTTACTGATCCATTAGAAAGAAAGCTAGCTGGACATCGGTTTTGAAGCCTCTTTGGTCACGGAGCTCCCTCCATCTCTTGAACGCCTGACTGAGGTTTACTCTTGTTTTCCCTCTTCTTTTATCACTCTCCTTTTTGCTCTTCTTTGCCTCCTCAGACAGAGGAGCTCCTTTTCTTTTGCTAGGCTGTTTTTCACTTGTTTCCAAACTTTGTCCATCTGCCATTGTGCTCATGACTCAACTATCTCATGCCCAACTCTTCATGAGGACCAGCTCCAGTCCCTGATTGGCTGACTGACCAGTTTTGCAATACATGATGGGTTTCCTGCCGTAAAGCAGATTTTTTTCCACGAAATTTTGCCCCCGGTAGCAGAAGCTTATTACAAAGATTGCAAAGCTACTAAGTAACCTATGTAAACACTGATAGTCTGATTTTAATGTGGCCACTACCCTGTGCAACCTACATTATTTTCATAATGGTATATTTAGGAAAAAATGCTATCTGTTGTCTCTTTAAACAAGACAATTTATTTTAATATAAATGCAAGAATGTTTTTTTTGTAGAAAAAAAATTGCAAATAGTGGACTGTGCAACCCTGACTAATGTCTACTGATCAAAGGAAGACCCTTCATAGGCTACATTGAAACAGTCTGTGGTGAACAAAAACTGAATAGATACAAAGACCTTCTTTTTGTCTCTCAGTAATTGATTTAACTTTATTGTTTTCAACATTTCTTCCATAGTCTGGGTGAATTCCTTATTTTTGATTGGCTGCAGGATGTCCATCACTGCCTGATACAGGACACCTCCTAAGTACTTCCAGTGAAACTGTCTGTTCACCGTTCCAAATAAATGCGCTGGCTGTATCAGCCTGTAACTAAGATGAATAACCATAGCAACAGGGATGCAGTCAAAGCCTCCACTGAAATATTTTACAACACGTTAACAAGCTAAAGTCTAATTGCAGCGATAAGTAACATTTCTCTTAACGTAACACACAAGCAGTACACTGCCCGTCAGAATTTACTGATACTACGAATTGTATAAGTGATAATCCATATTATAAAGTGTGAAAAAAAATATGTTTGTGAGTCATTTAATCCCTGCTCCAGCCCGCAGGGGCAGTACTAATTACGAACTTTAACACTTACACCTAATGATGTTAGTATATTTGAAAGCACAACGAATAGCGGACCTTCAAAATGTCTCCTGTTGGCATGTCAGGACATTGTCGGTGAATGTGTCTCTGAGGTCCACTGTTAGATAGATTTGCAAGTACACACACACACACACACACACGTGCGCCTTACCCACACTGGGCCGTTTTTTCCCCCCACTGTGTACTCCTTTCCTCCCTCTCTCTCTCTCTCTCTCTCTCTCTCTCTCTCTCTCTCTCTCTCTCTCTCTCTTCATCATGATAACAACAACAGAGAGTTGAAGCCTCTTGAAATACTCACTTTGAATATCAAATTGGTTGTGTGTGTGTGGGCAGCTGCTGACATTTTTGGTAAGACAGTTTGTTCACTGCCTTTTTGGGTGTGTGTTTATCTGTGTGTGTATCTGTTGTGTTTTTTAAGTGTATAGTTTGTGTGTGTACATCTGCACCATTGTAAGTTGCATGGTTACAGTGTGCGTGTGTGTGTGTGTGTGTGTGTGTGTGTGTGTGTGTGTGTGTGTGATTATATTTGTATGAAGGCGTTAGTGTTTTCAAGTGGATGTATGTAGTTTGTGGGGCCACCAAGACTCATGGGAGTTGTACCGATGGCTCCTTTGCCTCACCATGCCTGTGTTTTGTGTGTGTGTGTGTGTGTGTGTGTGTGTGTGTGTTTGTTTGAGGGTGGGTGGGTGGATTTGTGGTTTCAAGTGCAAGGATGAAAGATCTCTCTGTGTGACTTCCTCATGAACTCTCTGGGCTTCTTGTGGGCACACACACTGTGTATAAGTGCACTAATACAGAAGGGTGTGGACACATTCTCTGACATGAACATGTTAAATTTACAGCCAGTGTGTACATCCATGCAGGCAAAGCAGATTCGGCAGAAAGTGTATTCACATACAATACGCAGACCACCAAAAAACTACTACTGCTACAGGATAGGACAATTGTAGTAGATAACAGATGAATAAGGGCACAGCAGTCAAAGGCTATGAATATCTGTAAATGTATGATTTTGCAGGAGTTAAACGGGTGCTTTGCCAAATTAGAATTGATATTAAAATTGCTTCCTTTACAAGCAAAAGTGTACTTGTGGCAACAAGTGCTGCTGTCATCAACATGGCTAAAGTGTAAACACATCATTTTGAAGAGAGAGAAATGTTCATACTGTTTTTCAAGTGTAGAAAGCACCATTTACAACAGGTCTTATCAACATTCTCTGTTACTATTGGCACAGCAAAGGTTGTACTTTTGCAGAGGTGGCAAAGTGATGCACCATCAGGTAACGCAGTGTAACAATGTAACAGCTATTACAAACTCAGGATTCAAGCCCACATATGTTACTGTAATCCGACATGAATATGTTTTTTCTGATTCAATTATCAGTTATTTGAGGGGATGACAATAAAGCACTACGTTACAGTGCAATGTGTAGAGGAGGTTGAGGCAGGATGAATATATCAAAAAGAAAATAGTATCTGCGGGTGGGGTTACATGTCTGCCTGAGCAGTTAGGCTCACCAGGAAAGCTGCAACAGCATTTAGAGGACAGGTAAGGAATGGCAGAAATGGAATAAAGGAGACGTCAGAAATACATGCCACGATCTAAAGAGAGGAAGTGAAAAAGGAAGAGGGGAAGAGGAGGATGATGCAGATGAATGCTCTACAACGACGAGCAGGCAGAAACACAAGTGCAATTTCATGCCTGAAATGCATAAATATAACCTCCATTTTACCAAACCAAAAAGTCTACAAAATGGTGCAAATTTAAAACAACAACAACAACAAACTAAAGAATGTCCAATGAAAATGCTTTGGCAACTGTGTTTGTATAACCATTGGCTTTACATGTACACTTACTGTTAATGAGCGTTGCATTTGGAGTCATGTTTTACAATAAACATCAAACCTTTTGAGTCGTGATAATGTTGTTATGTGTGTTGTCAGTTTGCACAGGGTGAGTACAACTCCGGCGGGTTTGACCTGAATGTGATGCCAGTTTGGAGGAACAACATCACCGGTAATGGAGTAGTGGTCAGCATCATTGACGATGGTGAGTCTTAACCTTCACTGTTACACAGACTGTCTGAATCTTTAAATAGGTACACAGGTACAGCATGCCTATTAAATGCTGCAGATTAATTATACAGAGTTGCTGGCCAAAATAAGAACACTGTGGCATAAAGAATGTGTACAAACACGAAACATTAGTTTGTAACAGGACTCGTGCTTAGCAATAGTTTGCGACTATCCAAAACAATTTGAGATTGGCGAAGACCTGTCAAGTTTGGTGTGATGAATCTGAACTCTGGCCCTCTGTGGAGAGGGTGAATGATTTATGTTAGTGCCTCCCCCCTTCTTCACCACCTCCACCACCACCACCGTCATCTTCGTCTCAGTCACGCCACAATGAGAATTCATTTCTCTCTGATTGCTGGGATATCTGGCAACAAGGGAAATGAGAGAGCGGCATCTTATGGGCTCATTCATCAAGAACTAATTGAAGCCTCACTAGTCTCAAGTGCTGATAGAGCTGGAGTAGTGTCGGAGTGTGCTGTTTTGTATGTGTGTGTTAAAGTGTTCATGCGACACTCTTTTTTGCATCCAAGTGGCTCTGACTCTGCAGCATGTGTGTGACAGTGGACTCTGAGAAAATGTCCTATAAAAGTGGCATTATTCTAAGAAATGGCATATTTGTATGGGGTGTGTTTTTTCTCCACTCACATCCATGCATGTCTATCTGCTTGCATGTGTGTTGATTCTCACTTGGCTGTCTGTTTTTGATAAAAGATGCTGCTATTATGGTGGAATGTTGTGGACAGAGGGCCCTCTCTTTGCTGTGCATTCCTCTGCATACAGACAGCTACTCAGTGTGTGTGTGTGTGTGTGTGTGTGTGTGTGTGTGGGTATTGGTGGCGAGGGATGGAGGGTGGATACAGAATGAGCAAGCAAGCGAGAGAAAAAGAGAAAGAAATTAAATAGAGGAAGGATATAGAGGGAAATGTCAGGCGAAAGCAAGAGTAAAAAGGATTCAGAGAGGGGGGGAGTGTGTGTGTGTTAATGTCTGTGTGTGTGTGTGTGTGTGTGTGTGTGTGTGAGACAGAGAGTATTAGACTTGCACCACTGAATCTCCTCTCCTCTGAGGCTATTGTACTCTGCTCCACCTCTCTGTATTGATTCCACCGGGCAAGAGCTCCCTCACTCTTTCTCTCTCCGTCTCTTTCTTTCTCTTTCTCTCATTTTCTTGGTCTTTTCCTCTTCTTTTTTCCTGTTCCCTCTTTGTTAACTAGGAGGTGACTCCTTCCTCTGGCCACCTTTCTTTTTTTTCTTTTTTTCCCTTCCTTCCCTCCCTTCCTCTCTCTTTCTTTCCCTCCCTCCCTCTCGGACAGTCTGCCTCTCACAGCTGAAGGATCATGTACACGCTCACCTTTAGCCACCTTTCAATCGATGCCTATTGATTTTAATATCACAATGAAATAAATTATTTTTCTTTGAGTGAAAGCGCCCCCGCCTACCCCTCCTCCTCCCACCTTCTCTATCTCCACCCTTCAATCCAATCCCTCTGTTTTAGAGGTAATGTAATTGGCATCTGAGGTCGGCCTTCTACAAGAGGTCGGCTCACATTCACCATGCCACCTTCAATTTGTATGCCTGTGTTTGGGTTTGCTTCTGACTCTCGTCTTCCAGACTATTGTCTCACAATGGCACCATCAGATATTTCTGCATTAGATTAATTTGATTACTGTATTCTATGGACATCAGCATGACCCTTTAAAAGCAGAGCTCAATAAAATCAAGTGCCTCATTTACCAACGTGCACATGCACATTTTATTTGCAAGAAACGTGCATATGCTTATTTCTATGCAAAAAAATCAGATTTATGAATTTCTTCTTGTGCCTGAGAATGTGTGTACATTTAAGAACCATTTTTTCCACCCATGTACCGACAAACCACTATTGGTGCACAATAATGTAATCATGAATAATCCAATTCCTAAATTACAAACACACAAAATAACTGTCAGCCATGTAAGTGATCGATAGATTGTCAACTTTTGTTCCTATAGATGTGCATTTGCTTTTTTTTTTTTTTTTTTTTTTTTTTTAAATTTTGAAAATTTTATTCAGAGCGAAATTGTGCCATCAACATCTTGATTTTATCACTGAGCACCTCTAGTTGTAGGAGATCCAAAGGATCTGTTAATGACATCCTGTTGTAATCAGTCTGCATTAATTCTGATCGATTACACTAAGCAGGTACATTTTCTATTATGCTAAAACTGTTTTAAAAAGCATATTAATAATCTAAGTTTGATGTGGAAGTGTCATATTAACAGTGTTGTGGCAATCCAGTGTTCTTAAGCTATGAAACATTAGACACATTTGTAGAGAGAAAGCTTGACATCATACATTATATTTGTATGACTAGGCGATATGGCCCAAAATGTCACGATACACATTTTTGCATTAGTCAATATCAATGATTATCACTTTTGATATCAAGTGATTATCTCTTTCAAGATGAAAGGCTGATTTTTGCTCCTGAGTGAGAGTTGAAGAAACCAGATGGGGCATTAATGGTTTGAACTATTTTTTATTGTCAGAAAAAGACAAACACTTGCCAAACAGCAGAACATTTCACAAATCTGAGGTTGATTTAAAACAGTTAAAATCAAAAATAGACAAAAAAAAATTTTTTCTAGTAAGCAGCATGTCAAACTCTTCATACAGACAGTTGATGGCGTTTTATAAGTGTTTTAGCTGACAATGTCAACAAAATAAATAGAAAAAAAGCTCAACTCTGGTCAGTATTTTCTATACAACTTTGAAATGCATGGTATGTAATTACTGCTCTGTGGGAAAAGTCTGCCTGGAGGACTTTCTTTCAGAAAGGGATTCCCTGGTTCAAGTTAGGGAGGAAAGTTGTGGAGGGTGTTAAAATGAATAGATTTCTGCTAGAGAGGGCTTTGGCAGAAAGCCCCCAAACAAACTCCCAGGTTAAGTTTTTGCTGTTCCTCAATCAAAACAATAACAAAAGACAGACTTTAATGACTTTGTGAAGTAGTGTGGATCATTCAGTGCCAATCAGAGTCTATCTGGCATGACTCAGTCATAAATCATGAACACGGAAATGCATTTAAGTTTTATTTTTGTTACCTTTCGTCACTTTGTTATATCATTATTCTAATGAAATAGCCGCAAGTGAGTCACGCTAAATTGCTAACTTACCAGTAGCATTAGATGAGTCGACTACTGCAGCTGGGTTATCACTGGACGTGCAAGTGCCCAGATTTATTAATTGTTGCACAGCTGCCCGTCAGCACTCACCTGGCCATTCACACCAGAGGCGCATTTCTCCACAATGGTCAGCAGCAGTTCTGCTCTGTCACATGTAGAGCGCTGTTTCTGTCTGCTTGTGTTTGTGTTTGTGTTTGTGTGTGTGTGTTTGTGTTTGTGTGTGTGTGTGTGTGTGTGTGTGTGTGTGTGTGTGTGGCTCTTCTCATCTCTTTCGCTCTCTGTTTAGACACAACTGATGAATTTGTGGAAGCATGCATGCATATGCTATCATTTATCATAGTCACATGTTTTATATATCTAATATAAACTTTATATAGTTCAAAATAGATTATCAGTGTATTTTCTTGCCAGATTTTCTGGCAGCTGATAGATAAAATAAACCAGACACTGAAATTATAGCTGCAGATGGCTTGCTGGCCAGAGCACTTGGTGCCATGATGTGTCCAGTGTGAACAGCCCAATCAGCTAACATGGGCGCCAAAGGCAAGCGGTCAGCGCCCCAAGGAAAATCCACATGCTTTGCAGCACTTTCACATTCAGTGTGAACCCGCCGTCACTTTGCACATTAGGTTGGTTGATGGTCACATCTTATTGTTCTTCTACTACTACTACCACTACTATTACTACTACTTCTTGTCATTTATAGCAGGTGGCTGATAGGATTTAGGTGCATTAGCATCCATCTCTACTGGTGAATGGGTGGTCTAACTATATTGAGCATTTAATCAACATTTGTTATGGTTCTATTGAGGAAAATTTTACTGAGGTGACTATGGTTATTGTTTTTTTTTTTTTTTTTGTATCTTTTTTAGTTGATTAGCAGAAAAATGAGTTCTTATACTGGGATAACTGAATAATTGTTTGAGTCAATTTTCAAGGAAAATGGCTGAAAATGTGGTTCCAGGTTCCCAAAGGTGAGAACTGTGGTAAATTGAATGTTTTTGGTTTGTTGATTGGACAAAAGAAGACATTTCATGCCGTCACCTTGAGCTCTAAAATGTTGAGATGGGCTTTTATCGCTGTTTTCTCATGTTTTATAGACCAAGCGATAAATTGAGAAAATATACAGCAGCAGCAGCAGTAACATGCTGGGAGGCTTTCCTGCCTGCCCGCAGCTGGGATGCTACAGTATCTTCCCTTTGTTGTCTGTGATGTTTTCATCTTTGTTTCTCTCATGTAGTTTCTATTGTCCACTACAAGTGACTCAACTTTAAGTCTTTTAAAGAGATGGGGTTGACCATAAATAAATACAATTTTTGGGAGTGTTCCTGTGTGTAACAGAGCTTATACTTGCACAAGCAGATCATAATGAAACAACTGATGTTTATCATTGTTCATTGTTCATTATTTGATAAATAGCAACTTTCTGTCCACATTTACAACTCGTTCAATGCACGCTCGCATAGATGAGCCCGTTGAACCCTTTCATTGGAAGAATAAAAAACGACTGTCACATGTAGTGCACATCAACATAAATAGCAGTCATTAGCCATGAGTGGGTTAAAGCTATAGATTCATCAGTGAAATGGCATCCACCTTCCACCCACCTTGTCCCATGACAGCCCACAGTGTCCCCGTCACCCTGCTATCAACAGTGGCCTCCATCCCTCCTGGCCGGGCGGCCCAAAAGCACTCAAATATTGATTGGCGCTTATGCCATTGTCATTACATGTCATTGGTACACAGAGAGACATAGGACACAAATTAGACTGGGGAAGGAAGGTGGGTGGGTGGGTGGATGGATGGATGGATGG